TATACATATATATTAAAAAAATGAATGACATGTGGCTATTATACGAGCCTTGGCCATTCTCGATGCGTCAAATAATTCGAGCACCACGCCACTGGGGGTAATCGAACACCAGACTAGAGGGGACTTACAACTGACAAACAGATACCTGACCAACTGATATGAGTATGCGGGGCATAGAGAGAGAGAGAGAGAGAGAGAGAATTAGCGGGGCACACATGTTCCCTAGAAATTGGACTTGCAATCAGCCTGAAATCAAATATTAACCAACCCAAACCACTCCATGATATTCTTCTCTCAGCTGCCGCCAAGCTTTCTAAATATTTTCTTCCATCTGAAATCATTTAGGCTTCCCACCAAAGCAACACACTACCCGACATAACAAATCCTCTTACTTCGCTTCCTTGTGGGATTGATAAACGAGACTCCACTAGAGCCCTGTCTTACTTGAGCGATACGTATACTTGCATTTGAAATTGCACTCTTCCTTTCAATTCATTCCGACATTCTCTTCTCCTCCTTCCCTTTCTCCATCTCCTTCCTCTCCTTTCTGTAATCTGATTCAGTTTATACTAATATGGCTCTGAAGCAGCGGGTGGAGAGGTTCATCATGCTTCCCTTCTCAGTTGGTTGTGCTTCTCAGTCAGCCATTAGAGTCTCCAAGAACCAACCAAAGAATACTCACATCAAAGAAGTCTTCATGCTTGAAGGTAACTTTTTCTTCAAAACTCGAGCCTAGAAACTGTCGATCGATTAATGATTCGATTTCAAGTTGAGCTGGGGTCTGCTCTAAAAAAATTCAATCTAAGAATTGGTTCATAGCCATGCTCGTTTATTTTGATACGAGCCAAAATTCATATCAATTTTCGAGTGATTATTGTTCTTCTAGCTGAATTCACAGCCCCCTACTGTTTACTTAATTCTAATTTTTTTCTTTCAAGTAGATGAAGATGGGAGGGAGGAGAATGCTAGACCCAAGAGTTCCTCATTCTTTCTCCAGCTCCAAAGACCAAACTTCTTTGTTGGTATTCATAAACTAGCTAAAGGACTCAGGAACTTATCAACTCTGTTCACAATCTACAAAGATGATGAAGAAGAAGAAGAAGCAGAGATGGAGATCGGATACCCTACAAATGTGCAGCATGTGGCTCACATAGGATGGGATGGCTACAATCATGTGAGTGGAATGAAGAGCTGGGAGAAAGCACCAGAGTTCTTAACTTTGTCTTCCCTTTCTTTGAAGTAATTTGAGTTGGCCATGTCCGCACAGGTGCAGGGTAGTGGTCCTCTTTGAGGTTTGGATTAGTGTTTGTGGAGCCTTGATTAATTAATTGTATTGGTTTCTTTGGTTTTTGTAACTTTATGTTCTTGTAGCTGTATTGAGGGCTACATGTGAGTTTGTATAGACAGCTTTAATATGGGAATCTTTACCGTTTTTTTCCTATGCTTCCTTTTTCTAAGGATGTGGGCTCCTGCTTTCATAATCATCATGAAAATAGAGAGCAATAAATGACTAGGTACCAACCTTAGTTTTTAATAAAAAATGTGTTTATTTCTGTGAAAAAAAAAACAAATTTATAAAATATTCAGAATAGACTATGTCAAAAGACCAATGAACTAATGACATCATGTTATGTCAGCTTATTATCACTATTTTAAGGGGCGACAATAACGATCTTCCAGTACAACAACAACAACAACAACAAAGCCTTAATCCCACTATGTGGGGTCGGCTACATGAATCCTTTTTCTCCATTGCGTCCTATTTAGTATCATATTTTCATTTAGTTCTAGTAAATTAAGATCATTTTTAATACAATAAGCCCAAGTCTTCCTAGGTCTACCTCTGTTTTTCTTAACACAAGTCGAATTTAAAACATCTACTCTCCTAATCGGATCATCTAATGGTCGACAAAATGTGTTTATTTCTCTGCATATATATATATATATATATATAATATTCAAAACAGACTATGTCAAAAGACCAATTAACCAATGACATCATGTTATGTCAGCTTATTATCACTATTTTAAAGGGCGACAATAACGATCTTCCAGTAATTGAAGAAAATATTGCATATGTTATATGCATGTAAGCAGGAACGATCAAATTCGATGAAATTGAAATATACGATGAACAAGAAGAATCTGATCGTTCTTCTGTGCATACATATAACGTATGTAATCTTTTCTTAGGTAATTAGAGTTGATTTCTTCCTACCATTTTTTTTTTCATTTATTATGATTATTATTATATTAAAATTGAAGTTATTATATGCTTTTTTATTATTTATTAGATTTTTTTTTTCTTTTGAACAGTTGGAAAGCTCAGCTAACATCTTAACTATTATTGGTTAAACACATTTAAGTATTCAATTTAAAATTTGTGTTGCTGACATTTCTGTTGGTTTTGTTGGATGTTATTTAAAGAGGTTAGCTTAGAGGGGGATTAATAATGATGATTATTTTTTTATTTTTATTTTTTTATTTTTGTTATCTAGTCAATAAGTCATAAGTTTATATGCTTATTAAATTTAGAAAATTTGATAAAATAAAATAAAAAATGTTTGGTGGTGAACTACTAGCTGTTGACTTAGTGAATGTGGATTTTATTGAGCTCTCAAATCATTTTTTATACTATTTATTGTTATTTTTCATCAAAGATTAATGGTTAGCATTAATCCCTTTTAAGCAACATGTTTAAAATGATAGTAGCATATATAAATATATTCTTAGAGAAATCATAAAATTTTCATTTGGGCAAGAAGGGCAGAAACTAGAATCATAATATTCTTTTATTGAACAAATTTGCTAATAAACTTGTTTCATTCCTTGAGCCTAGTTTGCCAATATAAAGCATTCAAAGTGCCTATTTGATGTTATTTTTATATGGTGAATTGATGATAATTGATCTTGTTTTATGTCATTTTTTTTTATGGTGAATTGGTGATGACTGAGAACTTCATGAAACAGACTGTGTTGGTGGTAGGAATTGCCTTTGGTAAGTTCAAGTATGGCCTATTAACTTAGATTTTATGAGATTCGCCATTAATTTGTGTTGGATCCTGGTTTATTCGTTAATTGCACCCCAAGGATTAGGGCATAAGAAATGAGTGAGAGAGATAAATAGAGAGCAACAAACAATAACATGAATAGTAAAACGTTTTGTCTATTGATCCTTTTTTCAAAAAAATGATCTCACTATTTATAGAGAAGAGTATACAATATATGATGTTACAGTTCTGTTTTTGCTTTAATAGGGGTATTACAAAATATTCTAAGTATTTTACATATACGAGTCGATTGCTCGGTTGCCCTACGACTAAGTTGGTTGAGATAGCATGGCCTTAGCTTGGTAAGGCTAGTTCGGTTAGCTAAACTGACCGATCGGTTGAATTTAACTACCTTCAGATTGACTGGACTGGCTCAGTCGACTAGACTTTGCCAATTGGGTGGTCTACTCTAGACATAGACTTTTCATCAATAGATGGGGAGCTCCCGTCAATAAAATGAAACTAGGCTATTGAGCAGATGGTGAATTATTGTAATCCGATAGATAGCTTCTTCCTTGAACAGAGAGCCCTCTAGGATGTTGTGAGGTTCTATTGTGTTGTTTGCTCTTGGTTCTTGATAAGGCCGTAGAACAATTCCAATAATCGCTTCAAAAATGCCGCACTAACCCCCAATAACACGCGATCTTTTATATGTTTTGTAATTTTATCAATGATTTCTAAGAAGTATCATTGAAATATGTTCAAACAGCATAACGTATTCTTGAAGTTAATGATTCAATTCAAATATATCAAATATATTAAATATATCAAATTCGGTGTTATTTCGGGGTTATTTGGGTATTATTTCGGTGTTATTGATGTATTAATCCTAATAACACCGCAATAACCCTCTGATGACACCTCATTGTGAACAACTCTAATAACCTCTGCAGTTCCACTTCAAAAACCCCGCAGAACAACTCCAATAAATCCCTATTAAAACCGCAATAACCCTTCAATAACAATTTAATAACCCCCGTAGAATAATTGCAATAACCGTTTCAATAACGCCGTAATAATCCCCCAATAACACCGCACGGTGAACCGTTCTAATAACCTTCGCAGTCCCACTTCGAAAAGGTTCAGGCCGGGTCAGACGGAAAAAAATTAAATTTTTTAAAATTTAATAAAATGGGCCCCAACATGCCGGCATATTACTACGGTTCGCACCCACAAGTCATTATGAAAAAAAATTTCCTCGCCAAAGCCCTCACCTAATTTCAGGATGCAGCCACAATTAGAACCAGCGAGAAGGTTACGATGGAGTCGCAACAACATCGAGACTCCCATCTTTCACTTCGGTTCCGCCCATCTCCAGCCGGAAAGAATGTCGGCCGCTCTTGTTGGGTTAGCTTATAAGGCCTAAATCATAATTTATAAAATTTGGTATTCAATTTTAGTTTTAGGCGGCCCGCCCAAGTTGGGTTTTGCATATATATATATATATATATATATATTTATTTATTTATTTATTTATTTATTTATTGCAAGTGCAATCGAATGTAAGATTTGCAAATGATTTTAAAAGTTTGAATTCTTTAAATGTGAAAAAATTGTGGAGGCTAAACTTTATTTGAGCCTAAGCTTAATGGGCTAAACTTAAATTGAATATCAAATTCTATAAATTAAGGCCTAAACTTGACTTCAATATGACATCATAATTTGGGGGGCTGGGCCTGAATTAAAGATGAAGTGTAATAAATTGGAGCTAAAGCTTGATTGGGCCTAAGCTTAGGGATTGACAAATTGACTTCAATATGCAACAAAATAAATTGGGGCCAAGCTTGTAGGGGTCGAAGCCTAAGGGCTAATAAATTGAATTACAAATGAAGTGTCATAATTTGGGACTAAGCTTGTTTAGGTTGCACCTTAGGGGTTGACAAATTGAATTAAATGTGAAATATAATAAATTGATGCTAAGTTTAAACATGGATGTCATTTTTAATTGCTAAAATGAAAAGTTAATATTTCAATATCATCATCGGATTCACAATTTACCTGCTAGCGAATAGAAGACAATCCCTCTTAAAGCCCGGATATGTAATATCAAATGTGATAATTTCCAAATAAAAACTTATAGTTTCAAAATGGCTAAAGTCTTTAAAGCCTATACAAGCTTCGAGATTATTCTTTAAGTAAAATGCAATAATTTGGATTATAATAAAATATTTCGAGACAAAGTTTGTACTCTTTTGAATTGTGTATATTTTAAGAGATTCATATAGATAAGAATCTTATGATTTCAAAATCTCTTGATCTAAATTGCAAGATTAAAGATTGCACAAGCCTTTAAAGTCTCCAAATTCTTTAATTTATTCAAATATATGAAACTAAATAAAGTCTACATATGCTCCAATTATTGTATTTAATGCTCAAGTATTATGTTTGAGAATGTTGCATGGGCTAATCGAGTTGCCTTGTTTAAAGGGTATGGTTGTAAGTCCTACCCAACTAATCTGATCCTCATCCTCACAAGGGCTGGAGTTGTGAGTTTAGTAATTTTGAAATAAAAGTCCAAATCCTAAAAATATGAATTTATAAGTTCAAATCCCCTAGACCGATCCTCCTACCTACAAGGATAGAAGTCAACAAGACACATACCCTAAAAGTCTAAACTAATGAATTTAAATGCGTTCTTCAAATATAAATGTTTAAAATGCTTAATTCATTTGATGCAAGCATGTTATTCAAGATAGCTGTGAACATCAAATTTCATTTGATGCAAGCATGTTATTCAAGAAGTTGCATATTAACTCACAACATCTAGATCAGTTGGTCCATCCAGAGAGGGTGACACAATCTCAACATTTGAGGCAAATGATTTTTTTTTTTTTCAAAATTTAGAACAACTTCTATGACTTCATCATCTGTGATTGGAAAAAATATTACGTCCGGACTCCGAACGTAACTCCGGATGTAGAGATACGTTCGGAGTCCAATAAAATCACGCCACGTGGAGTGACAGAAAAATTAAAAAAAAATCATTTTAGCACAGGAGAATATTCTCCCCGTGTTATTCTGCGTTATTCAGTTGTTGTCATGGTGATATTCATGTATTATTTTATTATGAGAATATTCCTGGTGTTATAATAACACAATAACACTTAAATAATATACCGCCACAATAACACCTAAATAACGCGGAATAACACGATAGACATATTCTCTTGTGTTACCGGGCCGGATAACAAAAAAATGAGTTTTTTTTTTATTTTTTTTCTGTCAGCTCCACCTGGAGGTGATTCATAAGAGTCCGAACGAATCTCTACGTCCGGAATCCAAATGTAATGATTTTTCCTGTAGTTGACGTCACGATAAAATTATCATCTATAGGGAATCAAGATATCAAATTGATTGTGAATTTGGAGGCATCGGAGTTCAAGGGACAAATTATTATGTCATTCAATTCATCAAAGACTTGGACTGGACGGTTTTTGCCACTAATACATTCAACAAAAATGTCGTCTAAGAGGAATAATGCTCTATTGTACCACATAATTATAGTGCAGCTTGCCTACGCATTATGTCTATTATACTGTTTTACATAATGAATTAAAAATAATATTTATTAAATTGGGGTGAATGTATTCTTAATTTTAATTTGATTTTAATTTATGCTAATCTAATTCTTAATCTTAAGTTTAATTAAAATATACTTAAACTTTGCCAAAAACCTCACAAAAGACAACTCACATACGCTCATAATTTATTTAAATCTATAAACTAATTTTGATAAAATTAAGAAAATAATTAATTCACTTTATAATCTAAATTAACTATATTTAAATCTAATTTAGCTTATTAAAATATTCATATAAAATTGTAATTATCATAATTTTTTAAATAATATCAAAATTGCATAAAATAATTTTCTACCAATAAAAACTTTTTATCCTATGATTATAATTATAAATTATTCAAAACATTAAATTTGATAAATAAAAATTTTATTTAATGTAAAATATATTTTTTTTATTCTGAATTTAATAAATTATAAACTATAAATAAACTAAAATTTTACAACATTAATTATGATAATTAAAAACTTTAAGAAAAACTTTCTAGCTAATTGCGATAAGAAAATCTCGGGGGAATCGTGCTGTCGCTGCCTCTAATTTTTGAAAAATTATTCCATACGGAGACGCATGTGCCGTCCAATCTCTACCGTTGATCAGATTTAAGCTATATTTCGGTGGGCATATTTCAAAAAATTGATGAAGATCGGATGGCGCATGAATCTCTGCATACGCCGTCCGTAATTTTTAGGTGTTGTTTATTAAAAAAAAAAATTATTAAGGCATCGATTTGAAATCGGTTGGTTGGTGATGTTCAAATAATGCAGATTATTATAATTATAATGGGGACTTGGTCGCGTGCCCAATGGGTTGGTTGGTGATGTTCAAAAGCCAAATGGGGGCACGCGACCAAGTGCCCACCTTTGGCTCCCCCAATGCACTAGGAGAAAATATTACATCAAGAGTCCTGATGCAGTTTCATGTGCGGATGATACATTATTTAGGTGTTATTGATAATATTGTGGTGTTATTTTACCAAAAAAACACCACTGTACCCCCAATAACACCCCCAATAATATCATACGCAGCTAATCAGTATGCAGGTCATCTGGATGTAATAATTTTTTCTTGCACTAGGGTCATTTATTTTCTCAAAATCAGCGCAGCACAATCTCTCAAAAAATGTGAATTTTAATTTCACATTAAAAAAAATTAAAATAAAATCGTTTTTTTTCTGAGCCATATTTTCCATCTACAAGCAACCAAATGAGGCTCTAATGTTTAACCTTAGCACCAAGAATAGCATTACAACCTAACAATGAGCCCTCCAAATTTCTAAATTAGAGAAGGCTTAATACAACACTGATTAAAGTAATTAGATTTGTAAGAAATCTTCAGAAATGTTCATAGAATAAATTTTAAAAAAAAAAACATCATGAATCACATACAATCAAAGAAGCCAGTTCATGATCCGCTGCTCCACTGATATCAGCACCCAACTTCTTCACTTCCAGCAGATAGGATAAAGCTTCCTTTGATACAATCTCACCAGGAACAAGAACCCACATATCATACCAATGCTCTCTTTCATGGCTACCTTCCTCTTCTTAGCAAAGAAAGCCTCTCTGGGAGACAGTCCAAGAATAATATCAGTGAATGGTGAAGAAATACTACTTTTCCTGCCGCACTTTGATCCCTTTGCTCCATAGAAAACTGATGAAAGATGCCTCATTCCAGATACAAGCGTCTGAATCTGCTCCTCTGTCGTCCCAAGATTGACAGCAAAAGTTATAGACTTGCAGCCTACCAATTCAGATGTGATTTTCGATTCATTAGACAGTATATCATCTGCTCTGTAGCCAGAGATTCCAAGTTTCGAAACTCCTACTGTGATTCGAAGCGGGTCGATCGCAGGAAAGATGGAGGAGAAGCATGATAAGTCGAGAACTGAGATGCCAGAGATCTTTCTCAGTTCATTCTTGGCTTTGATAGCTAAATCCATGGCTGAGTTGAAAATTGTATTTGGATTTTCGCTAAGTTGAGCTCGGGCGGCATCCAAGGATGCCAGCAAAAGGTAGTTTGGGCTGGAGCTCTGCAGCATTTGAAGGCACCTGCTGATCAAATCCCGGTCTATAAGGTTTCCTGACGAGTGTAGCATCGATGACTGTGTTAGAGATGTTAACACTTTGTGGGTAGAATGCACAGCTAGATCAGCTCCTTGCTGGAGCGCAGTGCTTGGAAAATTGGAGTGAAAATCAAAATGAGCGCCATGAGCTTCGTCAACGATAACCGGAATACCATAAGAGTGACAGAGACTCGTAATCCCACTTACATTGCTGCATATGCCATGATAAGTAGGTGAAGTGATTAGCACGGCAGCAGCAGTTTTGCTTTCAGATTCCAAATCCTTTATTGCTTGCTCTACCTGAGATGGAGTTATTCCACCAGGTATATCCCAATCAGAACTGTATTCCGGCATAATGTACTTGGGAGAAGCACCGGACAAAATCAGACCAGCCATGGCTGAGATGTGGGAGTTTCGATGAAGAATGAGCGTCTGGCCAGGCGTACATGTAGCCATGATCGAGGCTTGGATGCCGCAAGTGGTGCCTCCAACAAGGAACCATGTCTCTGATGCGCCAAAGAGTTCTGCAGCTTTTCTCTGAGCATCAAGAATTACGCCCTTTGGCGAGAAGAGATCATCGAGCTCCGGAAGCTCGGGGAGATCATGTAAAAAAGTAGATGTGCCAATAATGGTTGCTAAAGATGGAGGAGCTGCTTTCCCTCTGTTGTGTCCTGGAAAATGGAAACAAGCAACATCTTCCATGGCAGAGGTTCTCAGTGCATCTACTAAGGGAGCTGTACTGTTATGAGAAACTTTTGGAGGGTAGGTAAGAGAAATATCACCATCTTTGGTTCTTTCAGTGCTTGGAAAGGTGCTGTCTTGCTTCCTGGAAGTTGTAGTGCTCGCCTGTGACAAAATTATAAATCATGGACGGCTTTAAATTTTTGGTCCCAGTTCCTCTGTTGCTGCTGGTAAAAGGTCTGAAACAAAATGCCTCATTTTTTTCAGAAAAGGGATAGTAGTACAAAATACAAAACTTAAGTTTTTTGTTGCCTATAGTACATGAATGAGAATCTAAACTCAGCAGCTGTTGTTTCTATGAAATGGTAGAATTTAATGGAAGTTTTGATTGTAGCTCAGACACGAAACAAAGAAGCTTTAATGGAAAAACTCGTGATAAAAAACCGATTAATGCCCTGTAACTTAGTGGCTCAAGTTTCTTCATTTTCCATGTCTTGGATATCACTTCTATTAGAGTTTTTCCAACTTATAATTCTGACTTTGTAATTAGTCTAGAAAATTAGCCTTCGATTTTTTCATATCCTCCTTCAGACATTTTTTTTTTTTTAAGAAAGCCCAATAGCTAATATATTAAAAAGAAAGTAGGATACATATAGATTGTGTGGGAGGGCCCAAACATGACACCATGCCCAGTTGATACTATCATATGCAAATGGTTCCAAAAAGAAAAAATATTAAAAAATACATGAGAGATAAAGAAAATAAAACCAAAAAAGTGTCAAAATCCGGATTATCAGGCAACTAAAGGGCGACCCAATTTTGTCTTGCCTCTACCCCTAGCTTTAGGGAAGGAGCCAGCCAATAAATTGGTGAGATGAGTGTCATTGTCAATAGTAACCAATGAATCATTCAATAAATTTTCGAGCTCAAGTCTGCCTCCATTCTTCTTCTTCCTCCTAGAATATACTTATCATTCCTCATCCGAAGATGGGTTCGCGTGGTCAGTGGATTGGTCTAAAGTGTGTCGAACATGTGTAGGTTGTTGAACATTAGAAGCAACTACTTGTTGTACAAACTGATATTTTATCGGATCAGGGGAGCGGGAGCATTCTCGTGTGTTCTTGCATGTAGGTGGGCCTTCTTTAAAAACAGTGAGTGGCATAAACACATTTGGATCTGTATCTATAGTATGATGTTCTTCATCAGAAAATGCAGTGTTGGCAAGGGGGGGTCCATAGGCAAATCCTGTCTTATGGGAACTTTCTCCAGAAATTGAGCAGATGTGTCCACAGCAATGGGGTTAGACCCCTCTTTGTTTGCTTGAGCTTTAGCTTTAAAGTTTGGATGAAACCTGTGACATTTATCAAGTGTATGCCCAAACATCTTACAGTGGGTAAAATAAAAAAGTTTATGTTCCATGACAATTGGTTGCCAATATCCATTGTGAGTTGTGCCCAACCAGACTTCAGTAATATCAGGTAAGGTAATATTTCTTTCCACAAGTATTCTGGCCACAGAAGACCTGGTTAGATTAAAGGTGGGCATATCTAGCTTCATAAATCTCAAAGAATGACTCCAATAGAATAAAGAATCCGATGATTAAAGAAATGCAACTTGAGATCAGGTAAACTAATTCATGTCGAACAGTAGGAGACTCATCATTTGGGTCAAAATCATGAGACCACTTGAGTAACTTCATTGATTTGAATGTAATGTTGAGATATTTTTTAGAGAAAATTCAAGCATAGTCTTCAAATTAGGGTTAACTGAATCAACACACGTCTCCCATCCAAAAGTCTCACTTTCCACTTGCCTACAAGTTTGAGATTGTCAACACTCTTTCTAAGTTAGAGTTGAAATTTTTCAATCAGAGAAAAATGTCGGTGCTAAAAAGTAAAGTATTAAAGTTTGGGGGGGGGGGGGGGGCCCGGTTGTCGGTCACCAGAATAGAAATCTCGTTCCCCGCTTCGGAAGGACGTTTAATTTACATATATATGTATAATTTTTAGAAAAATATGAAATCAAACTGACCTCATATTTTTCACAGTTTAAATGAAAGAGCGCTCTACTTAAAATCTCGTATCTATCCCGAGGGATAAACATAAGACTTGAGGATGATGCGCGATCAAGTAAACTAAAGAATATATGACATCCGTTTGGTCTGCCAAGCCTATATGACATCCGTTTGGTTTGCGAAAGCTTTTTATTTTCCGACAAGTTCCCCTATTTAATACAAAGAATTAAATAGGGTTTATTTTAGGTTGGGTTCAAAAAAGCTTCCTATAAGGGCAAGCCCCTATAGTTAATTACATCTTAAATGACCGAAGGCACTTAAGAAAACTCTCGATAAAAATTCAGGGAATACTATCTTCAAAGAGGTCAAAAGGATAGGACTTTACAATGAAATTGGACGAAGAGGTGTGAAAGGGGAAAAGCTCGAATCTGGAACATTGTTGAGGAACTCAAATAAAGAAGAACTAGGGGAGTTCATAGATCCGGAGGCGAACCTCGGTGACTTCCCAGTCTTTCTGATGGTTTGACTTCAATTTTGAGGAGAAATTATTCAGGTGTTTCATCTTACCAATTTTATTTAATTAGGGCTTATACTTGCGTAACACGGTCACACTAGTTTCCTAGAAGGTATGAGGGTTTACGTCATATCGGACGACAACCTCGGAACCTAGAATGAGTTAGGGCTTAAATCGTACAACAGAGCTATACCAATGCCTAAAGAAAAGGTGGAGGATTTATGTTACGCTGGGCAAACAACCTCGAAATCCTATGGATTGTTGTTTTAATTTCTAGGAGAAGAACGGTTCAGCTGGGGAAGACATGTTCTGGTGTTGAAGATGGTTATGCTGCCCACCGCGCTAGCTCCAAGCTCCTTGTCATGACGAGTTCAAGTTTTCTAAGGTGTCCAGTTATGATGTCAAATCAAACGGCCCTATGGTTGTAGTCCTCTAAATGTCCTATATAAAAGAAGGCATGCTTAAAGCCATATAATATAAAATGTGCAATACATGACAAAAAGTAGGATGCATGTAGAATAGTAGCAGGTAGGAAACATGAATGGTATAACATACTGTACAGAAAGAACAGTAACAAGTAGAAACAAGAATAGTATAACATGCTGTACAGAAAGAACAGTAGCAGACAGAAACAAGAAAATGAAGTGCGGTAGCAGACAAAAACATGAATAGTATAACATGTTGTACAAAAAGAACAGTAGTAGGTAGAAACAGAAAAATGAAATGCTGTAAAATGTAAAGCAAACTTGTACGACCGTGAGATCCGCTGTTCCTTAAGTATAGCAAGTTTAAATGTATCGCAAAAAGCGAAATCTGCAAGAAACGTCGTCCAGGAAATCTAAAGAAGAGTGTAACAATGACTCATGACAGAAAACTCGAGAAAATCAACAAGAAAAGACTCAAGTAAAAGAGAAGAAAAGAATCCTCAAAAAAAATCTTGGAGAAATCCCGAAAGAAAGGAAAAGTAACACGAGTGCCCTGTCCCAAAGCTTCGATAAAACAAAATAAAAAAAGTTCGGGTGAGGGAGACCGCAAGCACTCGTATGAGGCTAGGCTCAGATATATATTTATACTCGAGGGTCCGCGAAGGCTACTCGGTCACCCGAATGTATAGAACCTGTCACTCGTCTAGAAGTGTGTCTTAAACCTCACTTAGAGGGCTATTTCCCAAACTAAACAGGTATTCGTCAGGTGGACAACCAGCTTTAAAGTATGTTTTATGTTTTAATTATGCATACAAATTTTAAACATGCAAAGAAGAGTTATCAATTTTTATTTCGTAGAAAAGTATGTTTTTTGCTTGAAAATGGTTTATCAAAACTTATATTATATTTTTTTTAGAAATTTTTGTTGTCCACGAGTCGATTACACTGTCGGGCATGAGACTG